CCAGTCGGCGGGCCGAGGGGCGGTCAGCTGGGGGCCCTCCTGCCGCCCAGAGGCCCCCTCCCCCGCCCCGAGGGCAGCCGGCAGCCTCCCGGTGTCGCGAGCTATTTCTGGGTGTGGAGGGGGAGGGGATCGGTAAGAGGACAGGGAACTGGGGCGCTGGGGCCAGCGAGCCGGCGAGCGAGTCTTCCCAGCCGATAGCCCCCAACTGTCTGCACCCGCTCCGTGCTACTCCCCTCCTCTTGTGGCCCTCAGATGCCTGGCCGCGGCTGAGAACCGGCCAACTCATCCTCGGCCGCCCTGGGCTCTCTGAGCTCCGGGAGGGTTCGGGGTCCAGGGCGGCGTGGGTGAGGGTGGTCGGGGAATGGTAAGGTCCCCAAGAAGGTAGTTCTACTGCGCCCGGCTGGAGGGAGGCCTGAGGGGGGGTGCGGTCCGGGACTCAGAGGAGTGGAAACGTTCTGGGATAAGGGAGCACCTGGCACGGGGCGCGGCGGGGGAGACGCACTCCAGTGCCAGGGGTGCCGAGCAGGGGAAGGGGCTGGGAGTCCCATCTGGGTTTGGTGCCCCTGGGGGCGCTCACTCGGCATAGCCCGTGCTCCAGGGCAGGCGGCGGCCCGTGTCCGGCGGGCTCTGCACAGCCCGGCCCGCGTGGTCGTCTGCGCGGCGCAGCCCCCCTGGGCTCAGCTGCAGGAAGGTCGGTCTGGAGAAGCTCGCTCGAGTCTCTCCAGTCTTGGCGGGCGCCCCGCTCCCGCTCGTAGTCCTCGCCGAAGGGCTCCTCGGTGCTTCTGCAACGGCAGCGGGCGGAGCCGTGGTCTCCGCCGGTAGCTCCGGCGACTTGGGGCGCGCATGCGGCGCGCCCCCAGGGCTCACCAGGTGCGCCACGGCCGAGCGCACTCGGTTTAGCATGCTGCCGCCTGCCCCGCCCCGCGCTGGCCCGGCCCCGCGCCGGCCCCGCCCCCGAGCGCGGGGGCGGAGCTCTCTGCCGTCGGCCTGCCAGCCGCGGCGCTGGACTGGGGCGGGCCGAGCCGGACCGGGGCGCAACCTCCCGTGGCCCTGCACCGCCCCCGGAACCGCCCCGCCTGCTCCCGGCTGCTTCCTTGCAGCATTCTGGCCCTCCCCAAGTCAGTTTCTTAAGGGAAGAGAGTCCGTTGCTGTGGGAAGGCGGCGGGCAGGGCCAGCCTTGTGTCAGCCGTGCTGCTGTGGATTAGAGAGCAGGTGGAACTTTCCCACTGTGACGGTGCGGGGGTGGGGTAGGCTCCTCGCTCTTGGTTCGCTGTGGCAGTGGAGCTGATGACCTCAGAGCTAAACAGCCGCTTCAGGCCCCTGGGTGTGAAGCACCTGGTATGACCACGCCTCCGTCTGGGGCTGCAGCGGGGAGCGCAAGGAACGGGTACCGGGTGCCGGCGGGGATCCCTGCGCGGAACCAGGGCGCCGGAGCCAATCCCCCCGCTCCCGAGGGCGCGCTCTCCCCTTGCATTCCAACTCGAGATCTGGCGGAGCGGTTGCCACTCTCTCCGCACTGTACTTCGCAGAAGCCAGTTTTCCACCGCATTTGGAACTCGCTGAACCACGGCAGGACTAGTCAGTACGGACAATATCAGCAGAGCAACGACCCCCTCCCTGAGAGCTCCCGTCCGCACCGTCGGCCACGCACGCTGCACGGTGTGCTTTCAGCGTATCCCCTGCACAGGATCCGCCGCTCCTGTCGTTTTAGTGACTTGGCCCTAGAGGTCACCGCCAGGGAGGGAGCCACACCCCGTTCCTTCTGACTTCTCTGCAGGAGGCGGCAAGGGTGAGGAAGGAGATGAAAGGCGTGGAAAGAAGTCGGGCTCCTCTCCTCTCAATCCCTTAGGGAAGCTGAGCCAGTGCTGTGGCTGCCGCCAGGGGGGGACAAAGGCCAGGCTAAGCGCTTGCGTAAGTTGCTCGCTGGGGGATCCGGCCCAGCGCCCTGGCGGGCTACCTGTTCTTCCTGCCAGCCTTTCCTTTGGGGTAGAGCGGTTCTGACCTGATGCTGAAAGAGCTTGGTCCCTAAGAGTAGTGTGGGAGATGTGGTCGCTGGGCCTCGGGCGAAACCCCCCACAACCCCCCTCCCTGCGCCCAACACTGAGCGCAAATAGGGACAAGGCCCTCGTGGCACTAATGCAAGCTGGGGTTAGCATCGGGGGCCACTGGCGCCCCGCTCATCCTTGTGCCTCCACTTCTGGGCTCTGTCCACCCAGAGCTTCCTGACCAGACCCTTCTTTGTTCCCGGGGCTAAACAGTGCCCCAGAATCGGCGGCTCTCCTGGCAGCTTCCAAATAAAGTCCACAATGGCCATTCAGCTTTGTTTGCTATAATTATGCCTGAGCTTGGGGCAGGGAGAGCCAGAGAAAAGGAAGTTACAAGAGCCAAACAGTCCAACCAGAGGCACGTGGAGCAGCGAAGACAAGCTCTGGGGGCCGGTGATATTTCCCTTGGCTTCTAGGAGAAACAGACCAGCCCCAAGAAATAGCACAATGGCAGTGGCAAAACAAGGACAGAAGAAAAAATAAAATAAAGCTCCTGGTTGTGTTTATGAGTCACTGTTTCTGGGACAGCTCACTTCCCACTTCTCAGTCTCACCCAGCTCCCACCCTGCCAAGGCTGCTGTTGGGCAGCAGGGCCCAGACCCAGAGCTCCCTCCAGTCCCAGCACCAATCAGCGGGAAGGTCAGCAACTCCCTTGGAGTCCAGAACAGCCCTCCCCACCCACCGCCAGCTGTACCCAAACCTTAAGGCTCTCCGCTGCCTTAGCCTCTCACCTCCTGTTCCTGGCACCATCACGCCTCCTCCAGGCTGAGACAGTCCCAGACCTGGTGAGAAGGTCATCACATCTACTCCTTCCTGTCCCCAGGGCAGCAGAAAGAGGGATGGAGGCGGGGGTGGGGGGATATTTCTCTGCTGATAGCTTGGACTCTGCTCAGTGGAGGAGGGGCCGTGCCTGCCAGGACAGCCCCTGGACAGCCTCATCCCCCCAGGCCACAGGCAGACTGGGCCCCTTCCCCCTCCACATGACTCCAACCCCAAAGTTCCCTTCAACTAAAGGAGACAAATTCACATGGTTACCTCTGCGCCCAAAATACAACCCCGTAAAGGATGACCCAATTGCAATTACATATGAGGGCGCTTCCGAAAGTTCGTGGAACAATGGGATTGAAAGTTTCTGGAGCAGGCGTTTGCCCCAGCAGTTAAGCTGCTGCTTGAGATGCCCACGTCCCAGATGAGAGCGTCTGGGTTTCAGTCCGGCCCCACACTAGATTCCAGCTTCTTCTGAATGCGCATCCTGGTCTCTGCCACCCACGTGGGAGACCTGGATGGAGTTCTGGGCTCCGGGCTTCTGCCGGCTCAGCCCTGACTGTTGCGTGCATTTGGGGAGCGAACCAGCAGGTAGGAGACTTTTCTCTGTCAGTCTCTCTGTTAGTCTGTCTCTCTGACTTTAAAATAAAATGAATGTTTTTTTTTTAATTTATTTATTTGAAAGAGTTACACAGAGAGAAGGAGAAAGAAAGAGATCTTCCATCCGCTCGTCCACTCTCCAAGTGGCCGCAATGGCTGGGGCTGAGCCAGGTCGAAGCCAGGAGCCAGGAGCTTCTTTGGCCACTCACATGGGAGACGCAGATGAAGCGCCTGGCTCCTGGTTTTGGCCTGGCCCAATCCTGGCTGTTGCAGGCATTTGGGGAATGAACCAGAAGATGGAAGCACATGCTCTCTCTCTTTGTTCTCTCTCTCTCTCTCACACTCTACCTTTCAAGTAGATGAAAATAAACTTCTAAAAAACTTTGTTTTGGTCCAAAAAATTAAAATTGAGTCGCAGTTGTTCATATTACACTTTTGGCATGAACTTTTTTAAGTGCACATATTACAATTTTTCTGATGAAGAAAATGGCCCTCAGATCTGGTATCTGAGTTGAACTTCACACCTTGGGGTCATCAGACAGTTGAGATTACACACAGGGATGGTTCACCAGCTTATTGCAACCCTACTGCCTGGCACCTATGCCCCTACACCTCCCAGGCCCTGAGGGTACTCTTAGCAGACACAAGGTGTCCGACCCCTTGTCACAGAAAAACTAGCCTCAAGAGGGAATGTCCAAAGGGAAGCTTTATCTACTGTGACAAGCATTGGAGACCATGGGAATACAGGGGCCCCTACAGAAGCTGGGTCCCTGCAAAGCGGTTTGTCATCTACAATGAAGGCTATGGGCGTGTCCAGGCTGTGGGGCTGGGAAGTGGGTGGGCCCTTCTCGCTCCATTCCTACACAAGTTCATACACTGCATGCTCTAAACCAGCCCGGTGTGGTTCCCAGCAGCTTTCCTCGCGTGTGTGCTGGTCTGGCCCCTTCTGAGCGCAGTGTTGCAAAATTCCCTGTTCTGGAACATCCTCTGAAAAACAAGCCCAAGCAGTAAACAGCTTCAGATTCTCTGCCAGTGTTCCCGCCTTGCCTAAACCCCACACTCTGATCACAGCCCCACAGCTGGGACTGAGATACTTGCTATACCCTCCTGAGAGACCAGCCTGGAAGTGTTGTTGACAGGACTTTGTGCACTGATAGCCATGTCCGTAGCTGCTCTGCCCCGGGGCAGCAGTCCTGAGCTTCGGGTGGCCACTGAGAACCGAAGCAGAGTGCCTGCTGATGAGGAACTGACTTTCAAGTGTTATGTAATTAAAGTTAACAACGTGAGCTAGTGGCTACTGCACTGCGCCGTGCAGTTACTTACAGGAGCCTCAAAACGCAGAAACCCCAAAGATCTGGCCACTCTTCACTCCCCACCCCCAGCCTCAGCTCCTCCCGCGGCCCCTGCGTTTCTCAAACCGGGCCACGACACCTGCAGAGATTCAAGGGACCTCCTCAAGTCGCGGGGGGTGGGGACTGCACTAGGGAACTGTCCATGCAGCTGGATCCTGCGGGAGCTGGAGGTCCTCGCGCCCCTCCTCCTGCCCTTGGCCGCCAGGGGCCGCTGCGCCGGGCCATGCTCGCCATCCAGCCGAGCGCCGGGGCAGAGCAGGGGCGGCCCCGGGCGAGAGAGTGGTGGCGGTAGAGGCCGCCTCGGCAGCTGCGCGCTCCCGGGCCGGCCAGCCGGGGCTTCGCAGAGGATCGGGCTGAGCTCCGCAGAGCTGGCGGGGCCGGCCCGGAGCTCCCCTGTGCCCTGAGCCCCGCGCGCCACGCTGGTGGCGCCAGAGCCCTGCCGTCTGGGGCGCAGCTACTAGGTTTTGAAGGGACGGGGCTCCGGGCTGGACAGCGCTCGGGCCGGCTGCTCCCTCTTGGAGCCGGGCGGTCGGAGTCCTGGTCCCAGGCTCAGGAGCAGAGAGAACAGAACGTGGGGCCAGCAGGTCGGACCAGTGGGCACTGCTGTGGGGCAGGTAGGTCCACCTTATGGGGGCTGAAGATTTGGAGGGCTGGGTAGGGGGCTGTAGAGGTCGGGGGCGGGAGAGGGCAGAGAAGGATGGAATAGGCTTGTATTTCCAACTCTTTGCTCAGGTATATGAGCTGACAACTCAGCCTCACCACAGCCTGCATGGGAAACTGAGGCAGGAGCGTGGGCACCAAGAAATCCTAGAAAAACAAGTTCTTCAGCTGCCTCCGAGGGAAGGAATAGAGTGCCTGAGATCTAGGACCAGTGTGTCTCCCTCACCCCACCCCACCCAGCCCCAAAGCTTCTGGGCCCCCGGGGTTCCTAGGAGAGTTGGGTAAATTCAGTTGGGGGGTGTTGGCAGAGAGAAATAGTATCACCTGGGAGAACACAAGCTGGGTTTCTGGTGGGCAAATGAGAGGGATCCTGATGGGGCAGTGAGAGGAGATGCCCGCCCAGAAAAGAGGTGGGCGGAAGGGGGAGGAGGCTCTGCCCCCTGGGCACACCGATCCCCAGTACTGAGCCACTTCTTCCATCTGTCCCCACGGTTGCCTCTGGCTGTCACCCCGGGGAGCTGCCACACAGGGTTCTGTCTGGGGCCCCACCTCCCTTGGGGGCGGGAAGAGAAGCAGCTGGCGCTGTGGCCTCGGAAGCTCCGTGACCTGGAGCACCCCATCCAAGCCCTCTGGGGTGGGAGTGGGGTGAGGGTGGCAGAGTTGAGCCAGCTGTGTGGGAGCACGGGGGCAGGTGCCGTGGGGCAGAACGTGGAGCCTCAGGCATTTTTCCCAGGTGCCTCTTGGAGGAATCTGCTCAGGACCCCTTCCGGACCCTTGGCTCTTTCCCAGGGCCGGAGACATGACAGCACTGACCCCTCCCTGTCATTGCCCCTGCTCCACCCTGGGACAGAGACCATCCCCAGCCGCTGTACTCTGGCTTACCACCACCGGTGTTCCCCCAGTCTGTGAGGGCCCCTGGAGCAGAGGGAGAGACTCTGGCACGCAGGAACAGCCTTGGAACTGGGCAGTGCTTTAGTGCCCAGCCCACCCCTTGCCCTGTGCCAGGCTCCACACCCTCTGCAGAGGCCAGGACTCTCTGTGTCTCTTGCAATCCCTTAAGAATCTTTCCCACTTGTCCAGGTGGAGGCAGTCTGACGCCAGTAGATGAACAGACAGAAGCGGGGCGATCCCAAAGGAGGTGAGCGAGGGGACAGTTGAATAAGGGACGTGGGGTATGGGCAGAGGCCGAGCTTCCCGCCCTGGGGAGCAGCTGGGCCTTGGCGGTGGGTTCGGACCTTGGTGTTCCCGGACCTGTGCTGGCACCTGAGGGGCTCACAGAGCAGCAGAGGTAGTGGCCAGGCCTTGCTCCGAGCTGGGGGCCCTGCTGCCCCCTGGGGCCTCTCCTGTCTCCGTCTGTGGCTGGGCAGCTCCCCGTGACTCTGTGTCCCTGCTCCTTCGGGAGTCCATCCGTCTCTGGCCCACCGTTGGAGATCAAGGTTGGAGGAGAAGGGAAGCCAGAGGTGCAGTGGGCATGGGGCCGGCTTCTAGGCTGTGGGCCCTCGCACCCACGTGCTGTCTCCTCTCCTGGGGTGAGTCATTTCACCTCTGTTAACCTCAGTGTCATTTTGCCCTTCTTAAATTTTTGTTTGAATAGAATCACTACCATATTCCCATGATTTAGAATTCAAATGGTAGCTATAGTAATAATGATAATAACAATGGGGCAGCATTGTAGTTGTGGCACAGTAGATTAAGCTGCTGCCCAGGACACCAGCATCCCACCGGAGCACTGGTTCCAGTGCTGGTTGCTCTGCTTCTGATCCAGCCTCCTGCAAATGCACCTAGGAAGACAGTGGAAGATGGCCCAAGTGCTTGGGCTCCTGCCACCCATGTGGGAGACCCAGAAGGAGTTCTAGGCTCCTGGCATTGGCCTGGCCCAGCCCTGGACCATTGCAGCCATTGAGGGAGTGAACTAGTAGATGGAAGGCCACTTTCTCTCTGTCTTTCTCACTCTGTAACTCTGCCTGTCAAATACGCAAATAAATCTTAAAAAGGGAAAGAACCCAGCTGAAGCCTGGGCAAAGAAGGTGAGGTGAGACCAAAAACAAACAAAACAACAATGGGAGTGGGCATTTAGCCTAGCAGGTAAGATGCCCCACATCCCACATCAGAGTGCCTGGTTTAGTTCCTGGCTCCAGCTCCCAACTTCGGCTTCCTACGCGCAGACCTGGGAAGCAGTGGTGACAACTCAAGTAGTTGAGTCCCTGCCACCATGTGGGAGACCCAAGTTGAGGTCCTGGCTCCTGGTTTCAACCTGGACCAGACCCAACTCTTACAGGCAATTGGGGAGTAAACCAGCAGTTGGAGATCTGTGTCTGTCTGTATCTGCCTCTTTGCCTTTCAAATGAATAAACATATAAAGAAAGAAATGTTTAAAGAAAAAACATTTTAAAGATAAAAGAACAGAGCTTTGGCCTAAGAGATCAGAGTACGCGGATTCTTGGCTCTGGCTTCTGACTCCAGATTCCTGCCAGTGCAAACCCTGGGAGGCAGAGGTGATGGCTGAAGTCATTGGGTCCTTGCTGCCTGTGTGAGAGAGCTAAATTGAGTTCCTGGCTCCTGGCTTCAGCCAGGGCTGTGAGCATTTGGGGAGTGCACCAGCAGATGGGGACTCTCTCACTGTGTGTCTGTCTCTCAAGTGAATAAAATGTAATACAATTAATTTTAAAAAATATTTTTATTCATTCATTTATTTGAAAAGCAGGGCGAGGAAGAGACACAGAGACAGAGAACAGAACAGAGAGACAGAACCGTGAACTCTGTCCTGGTTTCCCGCCCAGGTGGCAGGGGCCCCGGTTCTTGGGCTGTCATCTGCTGCCTTCCTAGGCACATCAGCAGGAAGCTGGATTGGAAGCAGAGTAGCAGGGACATGAACCAGCTACTGGTCCCACTTGGTACAGGATGCCGGCATTGTAAGTGGCAACTTAACTTAGTGCACCACAGTGCCTTCCCACATATATATATATATATATATATATATGTATATATATAATTTTTAAAGTAAAGAAATCAGAAGAAAAATAAACTTTCCTTCTACCTCCATCTCCCAGCCAATCGGTTTCCCTTCCTAGTGCCAAATAATATTATTAGGGTTTGTGTTCGTTCTCCAGAGCTAGTCTATGCATATTTGAGCAACTCGGATAATCGCTCTCTTTTTACCCATTTTCTGCACACCGTCCTACCGTCTGGTTCTTCCCCTTCACTGTGGATTATCTTTGGCGATCACCGCGTGCATCAGCGCATGCGCATTTCCCCTTGCGCTTTTCCAGCTTTCGGGCGGGGACCGTGGGTGTACGGTCCTCACGGATGGTTGTTTAGGACGTGTCCAGGCCTCAATTCGCCCATGTGTAAGATAGACAGTAGTAACCTTGTTCTGTCAGAAGTTGTGAAGGATTCAAGAGCATGGACATGAAGTGCTGGGGTCCAAGAGTGGGAGTCACCTTTTTGTTCTGCTCCTGTCACAACCCTCCATGGGACCAAATCTAGACTCCTGGAATGTCTCTCCCACAGGCGTCCCCTCTTCCTGCAGTGACTCTGTGCTGCCTGGGGAGAAGGTGTGTGCCCCCCACCCCGGTGCACGGCACAGAGGACGTGCTCCGGCTGGGCAAGGGGGCGCTCTGCCGGCAGCTGAACCCGGCATGTGCTTCTCTCCCCAGGATGAGCGAGAGGGCCCTGCGGAACTGGAGCCTGGGCAGCTGGCTGCTGGCACTGTGCCTGGCCTGGCTGTGGACTCGGCCGGCCTTGGCTTCCTTAGAGCCTCCAACTACTGCAGGTTTGGAGGAGGTAGAAGGACCTGGGGCGGGAACTTCACAAGATGTCTGGAGAGCCAGTCGCTGGCCCACCCCGTTCTGTAGCAGGCACATTTCTCAGGCAGATTCCAGGGTTTCTGGCTCCTCCCCTGTTGCGCTGCCAGGAATCTCTGCCCCTCTGTGCCGTCCTAGCCTGGAGGAGGCCTGGGCAGACTCGCTGCTCACCTAGCCCTGCAGGGGGAGAGGCAAGCGCTCAAGGCGGGGCTTAAGTCTAGCCTGTGCCCCCACCCCGGCCTAATTCTGTGGTCCTCCTTCTGGGAGGGCTAAGCCTGTGTAAGCGGATGATCCTCCCCACGCATTGTAAGCCCTGGGGCCCTTGCCCTCACCCCGAGAAAGCGGGGAGGCGGGGGCTGGTGGGGAACTCCCACTTCCTTCTGCCAGGGGCCAGAGGTTGCCCATGGGGGATGAGCAGGGCCTCACTGGGGGAGCAGCGAGGGCAGGAAGAACTCCATGCCAGGGCAGGAAGATTTCATCCCCCCATGTCCTCCTCCCCTGCTGTTGGGAATCTTTGAGATGCCTTCCCCAAGGAGGGAGGAAGGGCCCCAGTGTGACCAGGGTGGGCGGGGGCAGGGAGCCTGGCCCCTGATCTGCAGGTGCTGGCCCCTGCAGTCCTGGTGAAGCAGGGAACCTGCGAGGTGATCGCCGCTCATCGCTGCTGCAACCAGAACCGCATTGAGGAGCGCTCCCAGACCGTCAAATGCTCCTGCCTTTCGGGCCAGGTGGCCGGCACCACCCGGGCCAAGCCCTCCTGCGTGGACGGTGAGTGAGGGCCCTGGACGCAAGCAGGGAGGCCCCAGCACAGAGATAAGGAGGTCTGGTCGGGCCTCGCCATCTGCTGGGGATCCAATTTCATACCCCTCTCAGGGCTTTCCGGATCACAGTCGCAAGTAATGGGGCACCCTTGGCGGGGGAGGGGGGAGAGGAGGGCAGCAGTGACCATTCCAGGGTCACAGATAAGGACAGCTCATGTTATGCACCCTCCCTGCAGCCTCCCCACCCCCAGTGCCTGGCGCCTACGCAGATGCTCACTCACCCTCCCACCTGGCCTGCCTCCCACGCCTCCTCCAGAGAGGTGCCTCTGCTGAGACTGTTACCCCTCTCTGCTGTCCTAGCCGGGAGAAGCCTGGGCAGACCCAGAGCTCCTTTCCTGGCCTCCCCCTTTTTTTTCTTTTAAAATTTACTTATTTATTCGAAAGGCAGAGTTTCATAGAGGCAGAGGCAGAGACCAAGAGAGGTCTTCCATCTGCTGGTTCCCTCCCCAAATGGCTGCAGTGGCCAGAGTTAGACCGACCTGAAGCCAGGAGCTTCTTTCAGGTCTTCCACATGGGTACAGGGGCCCAAGCACTTGGGCCATCTTCCACTGCTTTCCCAGGCCATTAACTGAGAGCTGGATTGGAAGTAGAGCAGCCAGGAATTGAACTGGTGCCCATATGGGATGCCAGCACTCCAGGCAGCAGCTTTACCCGCTACACCATAGCACTGGCCCCTTCCTGGCCTCTTTCATGTGCCCTCCTCTCGTTGTCTGCCTTGCCCTCCCTCTCCTCTCCCTGACACATGGCTCCTTCACACTTACCCACATCTCACTTCCCTGCCCACGCATGTTCACACCCTTGGAAGCATGCCCAAGATAGTCACGCACACCGGTGTGTGCACTGTCAGTCCCTGGGCCCCTGCGAACAGCTCCTATACTCGCTAACCACATCAAGTGAGTGCGTTGAAGATCGTGCTGTATGCTAATGCATGGTTTCCTTAGAAACAGCCAGCCTCACCTGCCCTCACCCTTGGCTGTCTTTGGTTAGATGCAGGGATTTGTGGGATTAAAAATTGACAGGGTGGTGTCCCCAGGCCTGAGCCTGAGCACCATACTGCTTCTCTGGGCAGCCTGGAGGAGGAGGAAGAAGACAGGAGATGCGGGACCCAAAGGCAGGGGTGCGTAGGAAGATGCAGCTCACCCAGTGACCCCCTCTGGGCTGGACACTGTGCTCAGAACAGTTTAGAGCCATGCTCCTGCCTCCTGCTCCCACAGCCTCCATCGTCCTGCAGAGGTGGTGGTGTCAGATGGAGCCCTGCCTGCCGGGAGAGGAGTGTAAGGTGCTCCCGGACCTGTCGGGGTGGAGCTGCAGCAGTGGACACAAAGTGAAAACCACCAAGGTATCCCGGGCGGACACTGCATCCACTGCTCCCCTTGCCCTTTACCGTGGTGCAGAGAAGGGGTCCCAGGAGCCCTGGTGTGAGATGTGGACCAGGAGCAGGCACTTCCAGGCAGCCCTCCGGATCTGTCCTGACTCTGGGGACTGCGGTTATGGGCTCTGGATTTGAAATCCGGTGTGTGCTTTTTGGCAAATTCTTTATGTTCCATAGCTTTGTTTTGTTTTATTTTGTTTTGGTTTGTTTTCCCTCTCTTTGCCTGCAAAGGTGGGGAACCTTTTTTCTGCCCAGGACTGTTAGAAAATTTATGGCATCAATCACAGGGCCTTATACAATGATCGACTTAAAAATGAGCTTACTGTGGATTCATTGGATTTCAAGTCCCGCCTGCGGTTGCCTTGGCAGGGTCAGATCCGAAATGATTTCGTGGGCCTCATATAGCCCATGGGCCGGGCGCTCCCTACCCATGGTGGCTTGCCTCCAGAAAACGTCCGCTCAAGTTTAGAATTGAGGTGATGTAGATAACTCAGGGAGGGAGGAATGTGCTTGCACTGAATTCCAGGTACAGCAGCCACCGTGGCTGCCTCTGCCACATGCTGTCCCCCACGCCCAGCCCACGGTGGTGACAGTTACCTCCCTGCAGTTCATACTTGCCTTCCTGTGACAGCCCCCCAGAGGGTTCCTACTTCCTTGCCTTGCTGCCCGCCCCACGGCACAAGGGTAATTGCCCACCAGCAATGCCACGTGTGTCAGGGTCTACCAGATGAGTGACACGGCGGGGGAGCCAGGGCCCCGCCTCCTGCTCTCCCTCCCCCAGCAAACCGGCAGACAGACTTTTAACATGGGGGCAGGGAGGAGGGGCAGCTTCCAGGGGGCTCTGAAGGGTAATCGTTTTTTGGAGAGGACAGGAGGAAAGTAGCTCCCACACAAAACGCTCTGCTGGGTGTGGAGTCCCTGTCCCATCAGAGCCAGCTGTGCTGAGTACATGAAGAAGCGAGGAGGCGCTGCCGCCAAGCTTGGGACATCGGCCACCATGTTACAGGTTTGGCTTTATCGCCTGGACGGCTGGTCGCGTGCTTGCGACTTGGGGAGCTCCTGTGGTGCAAGCAGTGGTGAGACTTGCCTGAGGCAGCGGTGCGCAGGCCACCAGGCCGCACTTTCCCCATCTGGACTGCTCCAGGGAACCACACTGGCGGCCCCATCCTCTGAGCGGCCTCCGTATCCTGGGGAAATCTCTGGATTGCAGGGATGGGATGGGCATGGCCTTCGCTAACTTTGCCTGTCACTTCTCTGCAGGTCACCCGATAGGGGTCACAGCCTGGGCAAGACAGACTTGGCGGAGCCACAGTCGCATTCAGTGGTCGGCCAGCAGACGTGGGCGCACCCCACACCCCCTGTGCAACGGGTTGGTCTTTCCAGGGACATCACAGTGAAGCTGCCCAGCACATATGGGTGACTCCAGCCACACACCTGGTGTTGAGCTCCCCTGGGACACAGAAGAAGGTCATGACGTAATTCCTGCTGTCCAAGAATCGCTAGTGCAGTTGGGCAATTTAGCTGATGACAATTTAGATAACTTAGATTAAAGCATACGGTACCAGATTGCGGCTTCTGGGCTACATACTGTGGGCCTGGTGGAAGCTTGGGGATGAGACTCCCATGGCTGTTCAGTCACCCCCTGGTGACGGGAGGTCCCGTTCGCAGCTTCACATCAGTCCTGCAGCCCTAGCAAGCTGCTAACCCGTTGAAGGAAAACACTGCTGCCTTATGCCAGACCAGCGGTGTCTCGTTTGGATGGGATTGCGTTGACTGGGGGAAGGAAAGGGAAGATGGAGTGAAGCAACTTTTGCACAAAGCTTCTGCAGAAACGTGGCATGGTTGGGGCCATTCACTGGGTATGGGATGAATGGGTCTTACAATCGCCCCCTTCCAGGCCCCTCAGGGTTTTGTTTGCTTGCTTGTTTGAGCCGATGAGGAAACAGTCCCCAGGGAGGTGGGGTAACTGGACTGAGGTCTCAGCCTGGGTCCCCAGGCCCGCGAGACTGCTCACCCTCTACTGGCCCTGATGCTGGGATTCCGACCAGGGCCTTCCCAGGTTAATTTTTTCTCAAGCACCAGACCCTGGGGCGAACTAAAGACAATAGCAGCATTTTCCTCGGTGATGCTGGAGCAGGAACTTTGAGCAAGGTCACTGTCATCCTGTCTGCAATAAGCCAGAAGCCTCACACACCACAGCCTGGGGCCCCTGGGTGTCCAGTTTGCCCTCAGCCCCTAAGATTCCAAACACACCCCATGATGGCCCCAAGGTCATGCAGCCCGGCCACAGCCTGGGCTCTCAGAGCTGGCGTCCCCGTGGCCGGCCCTGACGCACTTCCTCTGGAGTCTTCAAGCGGAGCGCCCGGCGACTCTGGCTGCAGGGGAGTCTGGATGGTGTCTCCTCCCTTAAAGGCCGCTGCCGGGCGGGTGGGAGGGGGCAGGCTGGAGCCGCTTCTGTGCAGGGCTGAGGGCCAGCAGACAGGCTGGAGGTGACACGGGGGCTCAGCGGCCTGGACTACTTGGGAGTCTCACCAGTAAGAGTTGTAGCAGCCTGCCAACTCCTGGGTGGGGTCACCTGGGCCCTGGGGAGAGGGGTGGCAGTGGAGACCAGCCCGGAGGAGGCTGAGTTCTGGCCCTTGGAGAAGGCGAGTCAGGTGAAGGTTCCTCCCTCCCTCCCTGCTCATCCCACTGCGGTTTATGTTCTTGGTTCGGTTTGGTTTTGGTGTTGGTAGTGGGGTGAACAGTGATGCCAGCCTCTCAGTGGACTGTCACTGGGCTCCCGAGGCAGGGCAGTCAGGTAGCTGGGCACAGGATTTCACTGCCTCCTTCCGGGCTGGGGCTGGAGTAAGGGTTTGGTGACCTTGACCTGGAAAGGGCCCGAGAGTGAATATTTCCAGCTTTACAGACCACATGCAGTCTCTGTGGCAGATCCTTCGCTGCCTTTGCCATTCGTGTCTGTCCGGTTTTAATGGGAAAACCATTCTTGGCTCTGGGACTGCACACGAGCAGCCCCTGGGCCTTTTCAGAAGGTTCTCGGGGCCCTTGGAGAGCAGGCCACCTGCACAGCTTGGCACTGCCTCCCAGCCTCCTGGCCTGCTCCCTGCACAGTGGGAACCTGAGCATGAGGCCCGGGTCGGGTTTTGTTTTTCTTCTAATGCTCCTTGAGAGGTCGAGGAGTAAATTATTTAGGCTACAAATGAGACAGCTTTGGCCAAGTCAGTAAGCGCCCGCCCGCCTGGAGGCCAGCTGCAGACTTCTCTGCGGCCTCTGTCCCCCCCCTCCCCGCCGAGGCTCCACCCAGGAGGAGGGGAGGGGGCTCCAGCCCCTGCTCGTCCACTGCATCCTCTGGCTGCTGGGCTGGGAAGCAAGCCTGAGAGACGGGATGATGCTACGCTTGGGCTGCCCTGTGCCACCCTGCACCGCCACCAGGCCTCAGCCAAGGTCGAGCTCCCCGACCTTCTCTGGCCTCCCTCCCCCCTGCTTTCCCTTGGCACATTCTGGATTGGCTGACTCATTGTTTTCTAACTCCTCACACCTTGCTTTCCCCGTGAACCACGTGTGTGTGTGTGTTGGGTGGTCCTTTCTGTGACAGCGGGAGCCCCACCCAGGAGGGTCTGATGGGGAAGGGAGGGTGTCCCACCTCCCGCCAGTGGTTTCCTGGAGCTTCTCACCACGTATCTTTGGAAGTAGGAATGACTTTCCCTGGGGCTGTTTGTCCCCTTAGTGGGGTGGAATTGCAAGATTTCCGGAAGTGAGCTGCCACCCCCCACCCCCTCAGCTGCGAAGGCCTCGGGAAGGTTGCCAGCTGCAGGAGATCATGTGGCTAATTTGCTAATTGCTATTGGCCTCCTGGCAGTTTCATTAGGGTCTGTGAGTGACATCCTAATTAATGGCCCAAGACAGCTGCCCAGAGTCGAGGCCGCAGCTTCCTAAAATCATAAGCTTACAGTTAGAAAGGATTTTAGAGACCAGTTACCTCTCAGTATCTCTCATTTGGTGGATGAGGCTAGTGAGGCTCAGAGAGGTTAGGTGACTCGCCCAAAGTCACACAGCAAGCTGGTGGCATGCCCAGTCCGGCAACCACTACTGCCCGTCACATCTTACCCTGGTTCAGATGGAGAGTTTGAAAAGAAGCCAGCACTTGGACAAGGACAAGTGGGAAAGCATCCTGCATAGAAGCACCCAACCCTGCCAGTGGCAGACAGGACAAAAAATGGGATACGTTCATGGGAGGAGGGAAGGTGGGGATTGTGATCATTCATTTGAAACACCAAAGCACAGCACAAAGAATTAGAACTACTGGTGCCACACCCAGCACGACTGTGTTCCTTCCTGGCGGAGACAGGGCTGAGCCCACACTCACCTTTGGAAGATCCGTGCAGCATCTGGGATCCTTAGACCCTGCTGCAGGGGTCTGCACACTGAGAGTCCAAGGCCCAATGTGGCCCTCCACCTTTTTAATTTTCAATAAAGTTTTATTGGAACAAAACTGCATTTGTTTATTTAGTATACTGTGACTGTTGTGCTATGACAGTGGAGTTAAGTAAAGAGACTATATGGCCTGTAAAGCCTGAAATACTTACCCTAAACTTTTATTTAAAAATTTTGGCAGGGTAGCTGTTTGGCATAGTGATCAAGGCGTCTCCTGGGACGCCTGTATCCCACGTCAGAGAACCTGGGTTCAAGTCCCAGCTCTGGTCCAGATTCCAGCCTCCTGCTACTGCACACCCTGGGAGGCAGCAGGTGATGACTCCCTAGTTGGGTCCCTGCCACCCCCATGGAAAACCTGGATTGAGTTCTTGGTTCCAGCTCCTGGCTTTGGCCTGGCCCCAGCCCCCTGGCTGTTGCAGGCATTTGGGGGGTGAACTAGCAGATAAGAGATTCTCTCTTTCTCTGTCTTTCAAATAAATAACAAAAATGAATGTTTTTTAAAAATGTATTTATTTATTTGAAAGATGGTTACAGAGAGGTAGAGACAGAGAGAGAGGTCTTCCATCTGCTAGTTCACTCCCCAAATGGCTGCAACAGCTGAAGTTTTGCCCATCATAAGCCAAGAATCAGGAGCTTCTTCCGGGTCTCCCACATTGGTGCAGGGGCCAAAGAACTTGGGCCATCTTCTACTGCTTTCCCAGGCCATAGCAGAGAGCTGGATTGGAAGTGGAGCAGGCAGGACTCAAACAGGCGCCCATATGGGATGCCAGCACTGCAGGCGGCGGCTTTACCTGCTACACCACTGGCTGCTGCACTTTTCATCCAGCTCCTTGCTAATGCACCTGGGAAGGCAGCAGAGGATGGTCCAAGTACTTGGGCCCTGCCACCCATGTGGGAAACCTGGATGGAGTTCCAGGCTCCTGGCTTTGGCCTGGCTCAGCCCCAGCCATTATGGCAATTTGGGGAATTTAACCAGCAGATCGAAGATCTGTCTTTCCCTCTCTAACTCTGCATTTCAAATAAATAAATCTTAAAAACAAAACAAAACAAAAAACATTTTGCCACCCCCTTCCACAGTGCTTCTACTGAGCTTTTCTCAACATACCCTAGCAATCTGGAAAGTGCTGACCCTGCACTGTATTCCTGCATTGGGGGATTTCTCTGCTTTAGGCAATGTGTGTCCCCTTTAATCCCTCCCAGTGCCACCTGTGCTGTTTAACAACCCAAGAAATGAAGGCACCAAGCCCGAGGGAGGCCGAGGGAAAGACTTGGAGGAGACGCCTGTTTCCTAAGGTGTTGTCATACCCAGAGCAGCTCAGTTCATATTTTCCAAGTTCATATAACTTCTGCTTTCAAACTTAACAGAAGTAACCATGCGTGCACCCATGTATCAAGACATAAGTGTGCGTGCATGCTGCTGGAGTTTCTGTGTGTCTGAGGATTTGAGTATCTCCATGCCCCACAAGCAAGGACTGAAAGGTAGAGAATAAAGTTAAAATCACATCACATCAGTATGAACGTGTTACCGTAAATATTAACAAGTTGTTTTCTTCCTTCTTTCCATTCATGACAGTGATCAGGCCCCTTTATTACCCAAAACAACCAGAAAATCATGCTGATGCTCCCTGAGATTTCCATCAAAACCAAGAGGTGGGCATTTGGCCTAATGGTTCAGATGCTGGCTCAGGACGCCCACGTGCCATATTGGAGTGCCTGGTTCAAGTCCTAGTTCTGCTCCAAATTCCAGTCCCTTGCTAAAGTGCACCCTGGGAGGCAGTTGGCGATGGCGCAAGTAGTTGGGTCCCTGCCAAAGTCTGGCCCAAGCCTGGGACTGTTGTGGGCATCTGGGGAGTGAGCCAGTGGATGAGGTCACTCTCTCTCACTCTCTCCTGTTTCCCTGTTTCTCAAATAAACAAGATGAAATTAAAGAACACAAAAATGAGTCCACATGCAATAAAGGAGAAAAGTATTTTCTGCTTGAACCAACCAAGTCATTGTAATGTAACACATACTTGAATCATTTAATCCCCATGAGAGCCTATGAGGTAAGCGTCATTAACACCAGTTGACAGGTGCAAATATTCAGAGGAAAAAAAAAGATCTTGGGGCATCCAATAGCTGCCTCCAGGCTGCGGGTCTGGGAGCAGGAAATAGCTTGTTGAACGTCAGAGCTGAAGGGCAGCCATTTTTTCTATGCAATCCTCACAACAATGCCATAAGGTAGCTAGCACTACTCTTTGGTTACAGGCAAGGACTCTAAGACCCAGAGGTTAAGTTATCTGGCAGAGGTCACACAGGCACTGGGCAGAAGAACCAGGGTCTGAGTCCAGGTCTGCTCAGCCCTGAAACTCATAGCCTCTTATCACTCATGGGCTGTGTTCTGGTCATATGCTTGGGAGTTGAATGCTAAGAGCCCAAACACTTCGTAGTAAATGCTTAGGGAAGGTGGGAGGGGCCGGGGGTGGACAGGTAACAAGTGCCAGGAAACAGGTGTGTCCTCAGTGTTATGGGAGGGCAGAGGAAGGAAAGTGTGTGTGTGTGTTTCTCTGTGTGTGTATGTCTGTGTGTGTGTGTATCTGTGTATGTTTGTGTGTGTCTGCTTCTATGTATGCATCTCTGTGTGTGTATGTGTGTTTTGAAGGGAAAGGAGAACAAAGGCTAAGAGAACAGCATTTACAAAGAAGGCTGGAAACAAGTTCAAGTAAATAAGTAGCTGGAATGTGAAGAGAGAGGGTGACGGGTAAAGCTGAAAGCTGGACACAGCAGCTCTCAGAAGTGCTGTACACTGGAGTTTTACCTTTTTAAAAAGATATTTATTGGAGTTTTACCTTTTAAAAAAGATATTTATTATTTGAAAGGCAGAGTTAGAGAGAGAGAGAGAGAAAGAGAGAGAGAGAGGGGGAGAGAGAGAGAGAGGTCTTCCATCTGCTGGTTCACTCCCCCGATGGCTGCAACTGCCAGGGCTGGGCCATGCTGAAGCCAGGAGCTTGGAGCTTCATCTGGGTCTCCCACATGGGTGGCAGGGGCCCAAACACTACTTTCTACTTTCCCCAGGCTCAGAGCCAGATTGGAAGTGGAGCAGCCGGGACATGAACCAGGGTCTGTATGGGATGTTACTGTCACAGGTTGGTCTTTTTTTTTTTTTTTTTTTTGACAGGCAGAGTGGACAGTGAGAGAGAGAGAGACAGAGAGAAAGGTCTTCCTTTGCCGTTGGTTCACCCTCCAATGGCCGCCGCTGCAGCCGGCGCACAGCGCTGATCCGATGGCAGGAGCCAGGTGCTTCTCCTGGTCTCCCATGGGGTGCAGGGCCCAAGCACTTGGGCCATCCTCCACTGTACTCCCTGGCCACAGCAGAGAGCTGGCCTGGAAGAGGGGCAACCGGGACAGAATCCGGCGCCCTTACTGGGACTAGAACCCGGTGTGCCGGCGCCTCTAGGCGGAGGATTAGCCTAGTGAGCCGTGGCACCGGCACAGGTTGCTCTTAACCTGCAGCAGCACACCACCACAGCCCCTGTGTTTTAACTTACAGACAATGGAGAGAGGGCTCAGGGCTGGGGAGAGAGTCAGGACTCTAAGGCCAGACAGGAAGTGAGGCTATGATGGGGATCGGTAGTTTGGACAGCAATCTAGAAAAGGAATCATAATAAGCCCTGGCACCAAAAGCGGAGGCTGCTTGGGGTGCGGAGAGAGGAGGGAGGAAGAAGAGGGTATTGTGCTGCCTGGGCTCTCTCCATTCCCCAGAGCTGGCTCTTCTTCCGAAGTCACAGAGGAAGGTGTGCCAGCACTGAGCCTGTTCACCAGGTGGGCGACTGCCTGGGATCTGTCTGAAGCACACGGAAGCCAGCTCTTACACCTGCTTTCTTCAGAGTTTGTAACCCCTGAGCTGAGGTCCTTTAAATATATATATATATATATATATTACAGTTTTATGTATTAGCGAGAGACACAGCAATAATTTCCCCATCAGCTGGTTCAATCCCCAAGTGCCCACAATGGCCAGACCCGGGCCAGGCCAAAGCAGGGAGCTAGGAACTCAATCCAGGTGTCCCATGTGGTGACGGAGACCCAAGAACTTGAGCCACCACTTGTTGCCTCCCAGGATGTGCATTAGCAGGAAGCTGGAATAGGAGCCAGAGCCCAATTCTAACCCAGGGCCTGTGATGGGATGGGACAGGGGCATCCCAAACCGCGTCTTACCACTGTGCCAGCCTCAGGGGCGGCCCCAGCCCTTTGCTGGCTGTCTTGACACAGAAGCCAACCCGACTATTTACTGGGGCTTTGGTTAATGACGCTATCAGAGCCCACCATTCGCATCAGCACAATGAGGGAAAAGCCGGGAGCCAAAACAGCAGGTGCAGGCTGAGCTGCTCCCAAATCCCACCACCACCCAGCCTCCCACGCAGCCCCTAAGGGCTCTCCCAGGTCCCAGCCAAAAGGCGTAGCCGGCCAGGGCATAGGAGTTTTCTCCTTGGGGATGGCGCGGAGCGTCAGAGGCTCCAAGCCTCGCATGTCGGCCCCCAACCTGCGGAGCTCGCCCCCTCACCTGCGGAGGTCGCTGGTGGCGCGCACGCGCTGGCCGGGTAAACCGCAACCGGTACGGGAGGCTGAGCGAACGCGCTTTGCTTTTAGTTGCTGATGGTTAAGACTAAGCTGCTCGTAAGCCGATTGAACACGAGTAATCTCTCCAGAAAAATCTTTTAATTAAGGTTACATGGAAACAATTGGTTGCGATTGTAGACGTCAATTAGAAGATGGGGGAGAAGGAGGTGAGGTGGGGCGGTGATGGAGGTGGGGTGCGGGCGCGGGCGTTCGTGTGCATGTGTTGGCTATGTAGAGCCGTCGGGGAGGGAGGTTGGCCTCGGTCGACTCCGAGCCACAGGAAGGCTCGAGGGCAGAGCGGGCACTGGGGGAGGCGGCCCTGGCCTCCTCTGCTTAGGCTGCCTTGGCCCCCGGGTTCCTGCCGGCACCGCGTGCCCCATGGACGGCGCCTCGGCGTCCAGCCCGCCTGCGCTCGCGGTCGCCGTCGCGGCCGCAGGTGCGGGGCGGCGGCTCCGTCCCGGGGCTGGGCCTCTTGCCTCCGGACCCGCGACAGTCACTCGCGCCTGCACCGAGCGCCAGAGCCGCGGCATCCCGACTCATGGCCCCGGAGGACAATGCGAAGGCCGGCGCCCCTGACTGGCTCCTCAGCCTGCAGTGCGACCCGACCACGCCCCCTCCACCCTGTGCTGGGGTGGGGGGGCAGTCCTCAGGGCTGAAGGCGTTAAACTTGGATGCTGCTGGACGCCTGGCTATGCGGCTCCCTCCCAGGGAGAATCTCCAGGCCCGGAGCCCTAGGGCACTTGGATTTAAAAAGTTCAGCTATTGTCTGTTCCTGTTGAGGCTCTGTAGAAAGCTGTGCCTACTGTTTTTTAAAAGATTTATTTATTTTACTTATTTATTTGAAAGGCAGAGAGAGAGAGAGAGAGAGAGGGAGAGAGAGTCAATCTTCCATTTCTGGTTCATTCCCCAAATAGCCACAATGGTGGGAGCTGAGCTGGTCCCTAGCCAGGAGCCAGGAGATTCTTCCTGGTCTCCCACGTAGGTGCAGGGGCCCAGGGACTTGGGTCTTCCACTGTTTCCCCAGACCATAGCAGAGAGCTGGATGGGAAGAGGAGCAGCCTGGACAGGAACCAGCGTCCATATGGGATGCTGGCACTTCAGGCAGCAGCTTTGCCTGCTGCGCCACAGCACCAACCCCACCTCCTAATGTTTTGAAAAACAATTTTATTGGGTCGAGGCTGTGGCCTAGAAGGTCAAGCCTGGGGCCTGCTGCGTCAGAACCCCATGTGGGCACCAGTTCGTGTCACGGCTGCCCAGCTCCCTGCTAATGGCCTGGGAAAGCAGTGGAAGATGGCCCAAGTGCTTGGATTCCTGCATCCACATGGGAGACCTGGAAGAAACCCCTGGCTCCTGGTTCCTGACTTCGGATAGGCCCAGCTGTGGCCATTGCGGCCATTTAGAGAGTGAACCTGCAGATGGAAGACCTCTCTTTGTCTCTCCCTCTCTCTCCCTCTCTGTAACTCTGCCTCTCAAATAAATAATAATAATAAATAATTTTATTGAAGTATAGTTTATATGCAATAAAATACCCCCCATTTAAGTGGATTTTTGGATGAGTTTTGATATAGCTGTACACCATTTCCATGATTAAATTACAGAGCATTCCATATCTTCAAGTTACTTTGTTGAATAAGAAATTGATTACGTATTTGATATAAAGAACTCTAAGAGAGCAGTTGGAAGGTTCCCAACACAAAGGAATGATAAAGGTTTACATAATTGGAAATCACTCACGTTGTATACACGTGTGGAATTATCATGTTACACCCCATGAAGGTACAACTGTTACATGGTCAGCTAAAAATGAAAGAGGGTTACCCTTGCTGCCTGCCCCCTCCTGGCCCACCCCACAGGCCAGGGCTCCAGGCCAGAACTGGACTGCTTTCTGCCACTGTAAATTATATCTTTGCATTTTCTAGAATTTCCTTTACCCAGAATGAGACACCATGATTGAGCACAACGCTGTTGAGAATCATCTGTATTATTCCACCAGTGTTCCTTCTTTTGTATTTTAGAGTGATAATGCACTGTCTGATTTTACCCCAATTTCTTTATCCTTTTTCTTGTCCATAGACATTTGGCCTTTTTCCCAGTTTGGGCTATTTTGAATTAAGTTGTTATGAATATTTATACAAGTCTGTGTGGATCTGTGATTTCATTTCACTTGGGTATATACCTAGAAATGGAATTGCTGATTCATATAAGAAAATATACTTTTAATTTGATTAGAAACTGCCAAACTGTTTTCTATAGCAATTGAAGGATTGTACACTCCCATCAGTAGTTCAAGGGTACTTCAAAAAGTTCATAGAAAATGGAATTTAAAAATAAGATTATTTTGGTGCAAAATAATTTTGAAATCCATGCATATAATGGATCTTCAAAAAGTTCATGAAAAATATAAAAATATGTCATTTAAAAACAATGTAAGGCAGGGGCCGGCACTGTAGTGCAGTGGGTTAACGCCCTGGCCTGAAGCACTGACATCCCATATGGGCGCCGGTTCGAGACCCGGCTGCTCCACTTCTGATCCAGCTCTCTGCTATGGCCTGGGAAAGCAGTGGAAGATGGCCCAAGTCCTTAGGCCCCTGCACCAGCATGGGAGACCCAGAAGAAGCTCCTGGCTCCTGGTTTCGGATTGGCACAGCTCCAGCCATTGCAGCCAACTGGGGAGTGAACCATCGGATTCACTCTCTCTCTCTGTCACTTTGATTTTAAAATAAATAAATACATCTTAAAAAAAAAAAAACTATGTAGGGATTTTAAGAAAAAGATTATTTGAAAGGCAGAGTGACACAGAGAGATGTAGAGAGAGGAGATCATCCATCCTCTGGTTCACTCACCAAATGACCACAACAGCCAGGAGCGGGCCAGGCCAAAGCAAAGAGCCAGGAACCCCATCCCTGTGAGTCCCAGCTGCTCCACTTCCAATCCAGCTCCCTGCTAATGCACGTGGGAAAGCCGTAGAAGATGGCCCAAGTCCTTGGACTCCTGCACCCACGTAGGGCTGGAAGAATCTCGTGGCTCCTAGCTTCGGATCTGTGCAGGTCTGGCCATTGAGGACATCTGGGCGGGGGTGGTGGTGGTGGTGAACTAGTGGATGGAAGACCTCTGTCTCAGACTCTGCCTCCCTGTAACTTTCTGTAGCTCTGCTTCTCTCTAACTTTGCCTTTCAAATAATAAATAAATAAATATTTAAAAGAAAGAAAGAACGAATGAAAGGAAGAAAGAAAACACATTCTTCTCATTAGCAAATGGAACATTTTCTAGGATAGACCACATATTAGGCTACAAATCAAGCCACAGCAAATTTAAAAAGATTGAATTCATACCATGTATCTTCTCAGACCATAAAGGAATAAAACTAGAAATCAATAACAAGAGGAACAGTAGAACACTCGTAAATACTTGGAAATTAAGCAACATGTTACTGAATGATCAATGGGTCATTGAAGAAATTAAAAAGATCAAAAACTTTCTTGGACATAGCAAAATCTGTGGAATACAGTAAAAGCAGTATTAAGCGAGAAGTTTATAGCATTAGATGCTTGCATTAAAAAAAGAGAAATGTCTTAAAGATCTAATGGTGTATCTTGATGACTTAGAAAAACAAGAACAAACCAAACCCCAAATCAGCAGGAGGCAAGAAATAACAAGGATCAGAGCAGAAATAAGTGAAATTGAAACTTATTTTTTTATTAAGAAATAAAAAAGATCAACAAAACAAAAAGTTGGTTTTTGAGAAGATAAACAAAATAGATAATCTTCTAGCCAGAATACCAAAGAAAAAAAAAAGAGGAAAAACTCAAACTGATAAAATTAGAGATGCAAAAGGAGACATTACAACTGACACCACTGAAATACAAAGGATCATAACAAACATCTCTGAAGTACTAAATGCTGGTAAACTGAAAAGCCTCAAAGAAATGGATAAGCTCCTGGATTCACATAACCTACTGAGATTAAATCAAGAAGATACAGACAACCTAAACAGATCCATTAAAAGCAATGAGATTGAAGCTGTAATCAAAAGTCTTCCATCATGGAAAAGTCCAGGACCTGATGGCTTTACTACTGAATTCTACAAAACATTCAAAAAGAAAGTAACTCCAATATTCTTCAAACTATTCCAAAATATTAACAGGATGGAACTCTGCCAAACTCTTTTATGAGGCCAGCATTACTTTGATATGAAAACCAGAAATGACACAAAAAGAGAAGTATGGCCCTATATCCTTAATGAACATAGATGCAAAGATTCTTAACAAAATACTAGCAAATTGAATCCAAAACCACCTCAAAAAGATCATACATCATGATCAAGTGGGATTTCTCCCAGAAATGCATGGGTGGCTCGACATTTACAAATCAATAAATGTCATAAATCACATCCTTTGAATGAAGAACAAAAACCATATGGTCATCTCAATAGATGCAGAGAAATAATTTGATAAGATTCACCATCACTTCATGATTAAAAACTCTCCACAAATTAAGTTTAATAAGAACATTCCTCAAAATTATAAATGCTATATATCACGATCCAACAGCCAATATCACATTGAATGGGGAAAAACTGAAAGCATTTCCCCTCAGATCTGGAGTAAGGATGTCCATGTTTGCCATTCTTACTCAGCATAGTTCTGGAAGTTCTATCAGAGCTATACGGGAGGAGAAAGAAATAAAGGGCATTCAAATTGGAAAACAGGAAACCAAATTATCCATGTTTGCAGATGACATGATGTTGTACCTGGAAAAACCTAAACACTCCACCAAAAAGTTGTTAGAATTAATAAAGTAAAGTTGCAGGCTACAAAATAAGCAATACAAAAAACAGTAGCTTTCTTGTATGCTAATAATGAACTCACAGAAAGAGAAACCAAAAAATAGAAATCCCATTCATAATAGCCACAAAAATTTAAGTATTTAGGAATAAATTTAACCAAAAAAGTGAAATATCTCTATAATGAAAATTATCGAACATTGATGAAAGAAATCATCAAGGACATACAAAAAGATGGAAAGATATTTCCTGCTTATGCATTGGAAGAATCAATATCAGTAAAATGTCTATACCACCTAAAGCATTTGACAGATTCAATGCGATCTTTGTCAAAATATCAATTACATTCTTTACAGAGTTAGAAAATGCAATCCTGCAATTCAT